CGCGGGCGGGCGCCCAGGAACGGGAGGCAGGGCAGGAGGGGGCTCAGGCGCGGCGCGCGGCGGGTCCCGCCATTGCTGCCGCCATCGCTGCTGCTGCTGCTGCTGCCGCCGCCCCGCGGCCCCTCACGGGGCTCGCGCCGCCATTTTCCTCCGCGCCGCCCGCTCCCTCACCTCTTACCCCGCCACATGCGCGCCGCCCATTGGCTCGCGGGCCGACGGCAGCGTCACTTCCGCCCACGGAGAGCGAATGACGTGGCCCTAAGGGAAGGGGCGGCGCCCGGCGCCGTTGCGCCCCGCCCCCCGCGGGTGGGAGGGGGCGGCCCCGCCCGTTGCCAGGGAGACCCGCGCGCCCCGCCTCGCCCCGCCCCCCAGGCGCGGCCGTTGAGGAGGCCGTTGGTGCCAGGCGGCCGTTGGGACCGTTTCGGGTCCCTGTCGCCCACCTGCGGCTGCTGCCGGGCGGGCGTCGTGCTTAGCTGCTCCTCTCGGGCACGAGAGAGGCCCCGCCGATTGCAAAAGGAGGAGGAAACCTCCCCTTAATAAAGGCGGCGTCTGAGGAGGCGCCTTCCTCCGCAGCGCCTGTGGCGGCCCCGGGCTGAAACGGCGCCCGCGGGGCGGGAGGCGGGTCCAAGCGGGATGAGTCACGGAAGCGCTGATAAAGCGCGGACAGCGGTTATAAAAAGCCCTCTTTAGTGTGGAAAATGGGGGCAGTGTAGCTTGTAGAAGATGGCTGAATGTGTCAGGGCGATGACTGAGCCCTCGGCATCTTCTGTCACTCAGCAGGTCTCTCCTTACGGCAGAGGACGTTACCTGTTGCCCAGAGGCAAGGAGCAATCACCGCTCTGCGAAGCCAGCAGGAGACCTTCCCAGTGGGAATTAGGCCCCGTACACAAAGTGTGTGTTGCTCCTTGCTGCCTCCGCCTGTAGGATACGCAAAATACATTGCAGGCAAAGGACAGAGCAAGAGCCCTCAAGCGAGTTCTGTGCCCTCAGACAGAAAGGGAGACTGAAATGACACATGAAAATATTTACAGTACCCAATTAAAAATCAATCAATGAAACAATTAAAATTATTGTGTTAAAATATTTTTCTTGCTCTGGAAATAAGTATCTTTCAGGTTTTTAATACAGAGCAATCTTAGCTGATAAAAAATACATCACCTTCAGACCGCTAGGAAGGTTGTCCTGTAACTGTGTAAGCCTTCAGACACTGAAATTCTACTGAGGTGATGACACACTAAAATAGTTAAAATTTAAAGAAAAATTATCACATGTTACGTGTCAATAGCATTTGCATAGGGGACACAAGTAAAGTGCTGCCCTGGGACACCTGACAAAACAGACTTTATGCATGGGAGTGCTAATTGAGTCACTGAAAGCTAAAGGGAGATAAGGAATAATAGCAACTCTACTTTCAAAAGTAGTCTGCTGGTTTTATCACTGCTCAGTTATCAACGGAGATTTATGAACTGCCAGGAAATCCCTGAGATTTACTTCCTGTAATTCACTGGTTTTAGTGGTTTTGGTATTCCTTTATTTTTCAAGCACTTTGGGAACAGGTCAATCGAATTTGTGTATCCATCAGAGCTGATGCATCAACCACGAGGTCTCCTTTCTTTTCTGCAGAGGCCTGGAAGGCTCCGGCCAGTGCAAGGGACCACTTGCAGTGTGTTCTCCCACATGAAAAATGCATCACTCAAAAATATATATATGCAGCAGCTTAAGTTATATTTTAATCAATTAGCTGTTCATCTACCAAAATGCAAACCCTTCTAATCCAAATAACTTTTTCTCATTTATCTTACCCAAATGTTTTGCAGAGGTAGATCCTATTTCCTGAGAATGACCTTCCCCTATTTACAATAGAGTCAGGTTTAGTTGACAAGAGTATTTTGGTTCATCAGCATTACTTAACTTTGGAAATAGTAATAAATCTTACTAACCAGGACAGTGGCTGTTACTCTGTTATATTTGCCTTGGTAAAGATATACCTTCCTTGTTCTACCTGGAGCTTGGATAATTTAGTCTCATGTCATTTAAAAAACAGTTTAAAATAAATGAGAGGCAAACATTTCTGGAAAATTGAAATTCACTTCTCAAAGGCAAGATTCTGAACAATCCTGTGAAATTACCAACATCACTGTAATGCTCTCAGAATTATAAGCTTAAATGAGTTGAATTTCTAGTAAAGATACCTTGCAGTATTACAAGATTTTATTTATGTGGGGGTTTTTGTACAACTATACGAATAATCTACCATTAAAAAAGCCATACAGAGGTTACATTTATTTTTCTAGGAGACAGTACTCGTTACCTTCCTCAAACTATCTATACTAGTGGCGTAGAAAAATGAGCGTTTTCTTTACAATTTTCGATTGCCCCTCATCCCCACCTCTCAACTGTTATAGTGCAGATTCAGAGGAAAAGTTATAGGCTGGCTGGAAGAGGAAAAACAGGGTAGTGAGCGGCTCTGGACACAGTAAAGGTTCACCATGGATTAACTCAGGGGTTAATCTAGCTCGTAATCATAGTAATCATCATCCGTGTTAGCTCCGATGCTGGAGGCCTCATGGGCTTTCGCTTTCTTTCTGTCTTCTTTGCCTTTTTCCATGGAAGACAGGTTGTCCTGACACTGGTGCAGAATCTTGCTGGAAGACATCCAGCTTTCCCCTCGCCTCTCCTCCGGTGCCGCACACTGCCCTCCTCGGACATCCGTGCCCTTGTCCATGAGCGCTCTCCTGGTTCGCAGAAGGTCACAAGTGCAATTCCAAGGGTTGCCGTCTAAATACAGATGCCGGAGGCGAGGTAAATACTCCAGCACTTTGCGATCCAAGACTGATATCTTGTTGTTTCGTAAATTTAAAACCTGAAGCTGTTTCAAGTCCTTCAGCTCTTGTTCTCCAACATCTTCTATGTCATTTCCTTTTAGGTCCAGTCTGGCAAGGGTGTCTGGAAGTCTGAATAAAATTAGAACAACACAGATGGGTTACATTCATCACATGAATTCTATCAGGGTAGGTGGTATTTGGTGGTGCAGATTTGCCCAGCCACAGCTGTCTTAAATAAAACTATCACTAACAAAAGTAAAGTCTTTGATATTCAGTAGTGGTAAATAAAAGCAATTAGGCTTTGTTTGGAAAAAAAAATATTTGAAATATTTCCTGAAATATTTGTGTCCATCTCTGAAGTTTTCAGAACACTGTCTATGCACACTTGAACTGTTTTCCTAAATTACTACAGTTCTGGTCTGAACTGACTGTTTGTGCAACTGAAAAAAACAGCAACCTTAATCCTTCAGTGCTAAGAAGAAAGTTACGGGTGGGTGTCAAGTAAGCTTAAAATTGGATTTTATACTTTTTAATGCCATAAGCAAGCCTACGACCAACATGAAGGATGAATTTGTAGCAGTGTGAAAGATGAAATGTCTGGAGAAGCATAACACCTAGTACTCCATTGGTGGAGTCTTAGCAGTGTTTGTGACTGAAATAAATGTTTTGAAAATAAACTACAGACAATGTGATAGCTGTCCAATATAACACTCTAACATAAGGGTACTCTGGGGTAAAATCTCAGTCCCACCGATGTCAAATGTCGGGATGTCACCCAAGCTATTTATCCAACCAGATATCCATCCCCAAAGAACAACTGCTAGGACCCATTAATTGTGACATATTGACTATACTTGTAACCTTTGAAACTGGTGGCCAGCAGTTCTCAGGGAGCTGTCAGAACTTACTCATTTATTCATGGGTGTCCACAAAACTGCCTGGCATCAACAGACAATTTAACTACGTCCATACATTTTTACTTCCCTCCCCTTTTATTTTAAGTCTCCACTTTAAATTTCTATTCATTCTAGAGCTCAAAGTGTTGAACAGAGTATCAAAATTCTCCAATATATCCTTAAAAGTACACTGGTAAAAGGCTGATAGAGAACTCTTTTTTTCCTGTTAATTCTCTTGACTAGAAGGTTGTAAAATAAGATAGATTAGACAATACTTACATAACTAGAAAGCATTAAACATTCCTGTCGAGCTAAACTGAAATCAAATATTTATATACAACTAAATCACTTTCTGAGTATAGAACTTCCACCAAATAGATTCAAATGGACTTGATGCTAAATGAATTGAAATTTTATTACATTATTTATTTGGGCCAATTAAATCTGTCCCTAAGCCATAAAAGTAAAATTTAATAGTGCAGTTGTGTTAAGCTGATATTAATGGAATGACGTGGCTATTTTATGCCATCTTACTGCACAATTTTTTGATATAATAAAAATAATGCCACTTTACATCAGACTAGCCTCTGTTTGGTCTAGCACAGGATCGCTGATAATGGACAAGATCAAAAATCAAAGAAATGTGCGAGAGCCTCTAGATAAGGCATTAAGGAGCACAGTGTGCCAAAGGGACAACTTCTGTGCTCCTTTGACTGGAGTTTTGCTTGAAGTCTGAGGAGACTGGAGAGTTTATAAGCCTTCCCAATACTTGGTCTTGTGTGAATTAAATGAAGTTGGTAATGCTAGCATCCACCTAAACAGTACCTACGTTTTGACCAGACTCAGCTCCTGAAATCATAATATTTTAAAATTGATAAACTCAAGTTTGGTAAAAAACATCCGTTTAAACTTGCCACCTTTCACTTCTATTGAATGTGGCACTGCTTTTGCGTTTCAGGAGGAGATAAAACTAAGGAGCAGTATAACTTCTCTATAATCATGCTTCTCCTGTCCTGTTGCTGTTATCCATGTGCTAATTAAATACA